CTCTGTACAGAGGAGCTTAACCCTTAATTTCCCCCCCCCCCACAGTCACATCAGACTCTGTACAGAGGAGCTTACACTCTAATGTCCCCCTCCCCCCCAGTCACATCAGTCTCTGTACAGAGGAGCTGACACTCTAATGTCCCCTCCCCCACAGTCACATCAGACCCGGCTGCATGGAGTGTACCTTTTGGGGTGTTGCGTTCCTGGTCGGCCTGTCTCAGGAGGTCGGGCTGGACGTTGGGTCCGGCATTATAATCCTGAAAGAGAAAGGGAGGAGCTGTCACTCCTGGAAGCTGATTGGCCCCTCGTCTTGGGGGAGGAGCGAACGCCTTTTCTGTATGAAAATCATCTTTTTATTGCTCCGGCACCAATTATTTTGGGTTCATTCTACAGAAACTTTCTGGCCCAAAACCAGCATTTTATTTTTATCTCGAATGCTTTGAATGGGGGACGAGTCTCAGCAGACGAGGCCGGTCCTCCTCTCCGCGTGTTACCTACTGACCCGAAATACAGCCGGGACTCACCTTGACCAGCGCTGACGCTCTGTGGGGCAGGATATCGGAATAGAAGCCCCTCTGCTTTATAACGGGGTATTTTCTGGAGGGGGAGGTCACTCTTGTCGCCCCAACATCCGGCACGAGGGACGGAAGACGAGGTGACACTCTGGGAGGTGTGTGGTTGGGGGCTCGACCGGGAGGAGGTAAGATATCGCTTTTACTGTGTTCCATCGTTGCTCTGTACAGAGAGAAGGGGGGGAGGGGAGGAGAAGGGGGGGGACAATCAATAAAAGTTGGGCGGTACATAGTATTGGGTCAGGTACATTGGCGTTCCGGTCAGCCATTCAGCACTCACCTATAATGGCGCCTTCATGACCTTCATGGAATGTCAGACACGCGGTACTTCCTACCACAAACAGAACCTGGAAAGAGAATATGGTCACAACCAATGAACGGTGATCACAGACCCGTCCCAACAGATCACAGACCCGTCCCAACAGATCACAGACCCGTCCCAACAGATCACAGACCCGTCCCAACAGATCACAGACCCGTCCCAACAGATCACAGACCCGTCCCAACAGATCACAGACCTGTCCCAACAAATCACAGACCCAGTGTCTCCAGAACCTCCTGTGTGCCCGGTGTCTCCAGAACCTCCTGTGTTCCCAGAACCTCCTGTGTGCCCAGTGCTTTCCAGAACCTCCTGTTGTCCCAGTGCCTCCCGAACCACAACCACAGTGACCTCTGAGCATCCTGTGTCCCCAGTGCCGCCAGAACCTCCTGTGTGCCCAGTGCCTCCAGTATGCCCGGTGCTCCTCTGTGTCACTGTTGCCCCCGCGCAGCCTCACATACGCTCCTTTAATCTCTCCGAATTGCTC